CAAAAGGACAAATACTATGTATATGATCCCATGTTCACAAGGTTTCTAGGTTTCCTACGGGCAAAAAGAATGGTGGCTGCCAGAGGATAGAAGGAGGGACAGTGGGCAGAGAACTTCATTGGGGAAGATGAAAAAGTTTTGGAGAGAGTGGTGATGGCTGCATAACAGTGTGAATGCACTTAATGCCACTGATCTGTACATTTCAAATGGAAAATTTTTGGACATATATTTCACCCCTAAAATAAGGCAGAATGAAGAGCGCAATAAAACTTGATTTGATACCCTCAAAAACTAATAAACTTCCCAAACATCATAAGCTGTAGAGTCAGGCTCCCCGACTCTGACACTTATAAACCATTTGCCCTGGACAAGTTACTTGACTTCACTGAGCTTTAACTTCCTCAACTGTAAAACAGGAATAAAACCTATCCTAAAGAGTTGCTGTGAAGATTAGATAATATTTGTAAAATTCTTAGAACTGTGTCTGGCACATATTAAGCACTCAATAATTACCAGAAATCAGCATAGTTGAGGCACTTGCTGAGAAGTAAGAAGCAAAGATCTTACATAATCCAGGAAGTGATTTTCTCTATTCACTATGGAGATGTACATACAATCTTCATTAACTGAAGAGGCCACATAGATTCAGGAGTTTTGTGGAGTTTGGTATAATTAAATTCAGATACAAGATACTGTGAAGAGATACCAATTCCTAAAAATGTCCCAAGTAATTTCAGAATTAATGTATAAACATGACACTGATTCTATATTAAAGAAGTTGGGTAAATTATGAAACTACATCCTAATCCAAGTCTTTGCATTATATTAGCAATGAAGAGAACTAGGTAATGTGGTATCACTCTTTCATCAGATATTTACTAAATATCATGTATCAGCCACAAATAAATAAATAAATAAATAAATAAATAAATATATAGAATGGATAAACATACATGAATATAAGATGCATCTAGGCAATAAAAAAAGTTCCAAAATGGCTTTTTAAATTACAGAAGTTTTAAAATGTTTCCTCTTAGGCCATTTATTAAGAGTGATATTGGGGGCCGGGGATTTAGTTCAGTGGTGCCACTGTCTGCTTCACAAGAGCAAGGTCCTGAGTTCAATCCCTGGTACCAAAAAAAAAAAAAAAAGAAAGAAATAAAGAGTGATAACACTGACAGAAAAGGTACAGAAAGCTGATGGCTGTGAAGCCACAGAAAATGGAAACTGCAGCAAAACTCAGGCCTGTGGATCAGCTAACACACCTGACTGCTAGTTGGCCATTAACTCAAACTGCAGCACAAAAGAAAAATCAGAGACTCCAATTTTGAAAAGTGTGATGCTAATACGATTGCAAATATCACAGGGCTGGTAAACTCACAGAATCAGTATGCATGGCAGAAGCGGCAATGATTTTACCTTCATCTCTGTAGGGGTGCAAAGAAAGTGTTGTCTTTTAAGCAATCTGAATGCTCACAGTAATAAATTCCAGTTCTTAGAAATGCTGGTTAAATTCTATTACACATAATACACTGTTGTGGCCCAAACCAGACAAGGAGAAAAATCTTCAAGTCCTGGTTTCTGGTGCATATTTCATGAAATATTAAAAATGAAGAAATTATTTACACAGTCCCAATATAATAAGAAAACTTTAATGGAACTTGACGTAAGTAGCATAATAAAATCTTGACAAATAAAAGGGAAAAAAGTATTTTGCCTTCTGCTAAAGAAACTATATAGTTGCTGCCATAGCTACAGCTGCTAAATGCAGTCAAGAAGGAAATATTCAAGTTCGCTTAGACAATGACTTTGAGCTTTTGGATGTAATTACGAACAGTATGGCGTGTCCTAGGGTTCTGTTGGCTTTTGCCTACCACCATCCCCACCTCAGTAAGGCAGCCCTTTCCAACACTTTCTTTGCACCCCTAGACCCTTGTGCATCTAGCTGGGCTAAATGTCATCAGACACACATCTTTCAGTTGATGCCCAGAAGCACGTACAAACAACACAGTCATTTATATTTGCATCAACTGTACAGCCAAGGGGTCTCCATGCTCAGAGGCATAAAAGAAAAAGGCGAGCATGTTAGAACTTAGGTATTTGATTTCCCTTGAGGAAGGACAAAACTTCACCTGAAAACTTAGCAAACTTGGCTAGACATACACCAAAAACCTATGTGGTATGTAACTTGATTCTATGAATGAATTTTTTCTAAATGTGCTAATTGCAGAAACCCATTTCTAGTCCATTAAATACATTTATTGCAACACAAAAGACTGCTGTGATATCGACTGTCTCCCATAGCCTGAATGTAAGCTTCATACAATTCTTAGTTTTAGATTCTAATAAAGGATTACAGGTTACCGTGGTGCATTAACCAGAATCCACTTAAACATTTTGGACAGTGGGACTAGAGCCAAATGGGTGAAGGTAATTTCTCTGCTTCTGCCAATACTGGCAACTGTGTTGTGCATAAATGCATCGTAAGAAAAGCAGCCTGGGATCTAGGGTACTTTGACTGGTAAAGGGTAATGAAAGAGCAGGAGGGGAAGTAACCCTTTCACATGCAGACTTCATAACCATGACTAGATTAGCAAAAAGTTCTCACAAGTTCTTGGGAGTTCTGTGGCTCACTCCCCAGAGAAGAAAAGGTTTCTTGCTTGCAGAGTACTCTGTTTACTGCTCCTTCCATGGGGGCTATTTGAAGTAGTATTTAAAGTAACACATTGAAGATCCCACCAAGAGAAAGATGAGAATCTATCTCAAGGGGAGAGATGTGATGCAACTTGAATAATACATATTTTTATACTTGTAACAACCAATGTTTAAGAGACACAAGATCACACAACAGTGACTATTCTGACCACATTAACACACCATTTCTATGAATACCAAAGTCAAATTCAATGGCTAAAAACAGATTCTAATTAAAGATGTAAAGCTTAAGTATAGACTCTTCCCATTACAAGCCAAAACAATAACAATATTAAATAATATGGGGGTTTTTTTGGTACCAGGAATTGAACTCAGGACCTTGTGCCTGTGAGGCAGGTGGCAAAACTACTGAGCTAAATCCCTGGCCCTAAATAATATAGTTTTTGATTTAAACAAAAGGTGCCGTCCCAAATATAACATTACTTCCATAATGTAACATAATTCTATTTCCTGTACCCTTGGGAGAGACCTCATGTTTCCGCCTTTTCTTTATGTTTCTGCCTTTTCTTTGAGTTCCTTCTTGTTGGAGTAGCATTTTGGCTCTTGCTAGACATGTGACCATGTCCATTCTCATCAAAAGTACACCCCGAGATACAAAGAGATCAGCCATCCATGATCACTCATGAGTTTTCTTTTTAGTTAACTGTGCCCACATGCCTCAAGAGTCAAGGAAGAGGGCCAGGGATTTACTCAGTGGTGCCACAACTGCCTTGCAAGACCTGCCTTGCAAGTGCAAGGTCCTGAGTTTGATCCCTGGTACTGAGAAAAAAAAAATTCAAGAAAGACCTGATGTACTCTCTCTCTTCATTTAAAAAATATAAGAGTTTAGCTGAGTGTGGTAGCACATGCTTACAGTCTCAGTTCTTCAAGAAGCTGATGCAGAAAGATCACCTGCACTCAGCAGTTTGAGATCAGCCTGGGCCACAGAGCAAGACCCCATCACAAGTGGGGAGGGGGTCTTGTTTAAGTGGTATGTTTTCATGTCTCAAGTGAAACAAGATATAAAATAGTAAACTGATATGAAAATATAGTTTATGGACTAGGAAAATCAAGAGCAAGAGTAACTTAGAATGACTTAGGGAAAGAGTCCTCTGTCTTAAGTTTCAAACACTTGGTAGAGGTACCTGGTTTATAGCATCTAAATGATGGCAGTCTTAAGAACATTTCTTAGGGTCACAGCTAGGTTTTTTCCCCAAGAGCCTGTTTTTCCTAGGACACATTCTATAAGATCCTGTTGAGGCTGACAGCATTGAGGATGTTACAAGTACCTAATCTGCCAGGAAACAGACAGTATTCTTCCTATCTGACTGGGGACTGGTCCTTTCTTTCTCCTTCTGACAACCTATTACTTTCATGTCAACAGGGCACAATCTATAAACCCACACACACCTCTCATTTATTAGCTTAAACATTTTTTAGCCGAGATGGTTTTCTACCCTTGATCACCTCCATGATCCACATCACCCTTGAGAAGCCATCAGTAGGACATAGCATGTCAACATCACTGAAAATGCCAAGAGGAAAGGAGACAACTTTTTAATATTCAGTAGTAGAATGCACCAAAAACTGAGAGCAAACAGCTCCTAATAGTGGAAAATAAGAAACTCACCTGGGATGAGGGATAGGGGAGATGGTAAGGATGGGGGAGGGAACAGAAGTAAGGGAAGGACAGAAGAAAGGAGAGGTAGTTTGTCTTTGGAAAAAGAGAAGAATTAGTGTCTCATTTGTAAGCTCTGACTGAGAAAAGACTTCACAAAACTTCTAGTTTGCCTAGTCAATGCACTAATGCATTAAAAGTTAATTCTCTTAAGGTATGTTTGATTCAAATTCCATGTGGACCCAGGCTTCTTGCTCTTTTGCTGGTAATTATGCCTTGTTCATTATCCTTTGACTTCTAAGGGCTTTATGCCAGGGGGTCTTTCATAATGTACGGTAATTACATTTAGACTTCAGAGAAAGACTGAATCATCAAATAACCAACTTAGACACTTGGTCTAGGTTATATCTTATAAAATCTCAACCTATGGAAAGGAAGGCAAAATGTAAACAATATATGTTTTTAGTAGAGAGTAGATATCTAAAACCATCAACTCTCTTAGTACTTGAAAGAGGATAACAACTGTGTTGAAACTATGAAACTACCTCTAAAAACACCATTAAATGGTAAGTTTCCAAATCCACAGGTGGAAAGAAACATTGGAAAATGAAAGACAAAGGAAGTGAAAGGCAAATAACCAACTCAAAGGCATAGCTCTAGTTAGGTGAAAAGAAATTTGATACTATACTTTGGTTTTGCATTTTTGTATTCTTCAGTGTCTGTGTCCTCGTCCTCTGAGTACCAATTATCTCCTCTTCCTCCAGCCAAGAGGCCCCTGGCAGCCAACAGTCCTGCAGCATTCCCATAGCCAGTGTATTTCAGTAGGCTATCCACTGCGGAAACAGAAGAGGGTTTTAGACAGGAATCTCTGGTACACACCGACATCATGAACCACACATCCACACAGGGAGGTGGGAGGCACCTGTCAAGCAGCAAGCCTCTCAGAGGTTTTCAAAGTGTGGTATGGTTATGCTGAACCACTACAAATTCTTCTACATGTTCAGAAACCACAGAGCCTTGTGTGCGTGTGTGTGTGTGTGTGTGTGCACGCATACGCACATTGGGGGGATGACAACAGAATGTAAACAAAGCTCAGCCGGTCCCAGCACCCAGAAGGAAACTCCCCCGCCGCCATCCCAAGGTCCTAGGGCAGAGAAGGTGAGCCAAGTGGGCGCCAGAAGCACCTCTCCCCCCAACCCCGTGGAAATGAGAAGACACATAAACAAGTCTCCAAACCAGACCTCCAAATCACCTACCGCAACCTCAAAGAGAAATGATATGGAACACTCTGATACTCAACTACCTGTGACTCTCTGAACTGGCAACAAAAGAGGATCTGGGAAAAATGAAATCAGAAATAATTACTCAGATAACAGCAAAGATTGTGCTCATGGTGCAAGACATGATTAATAAATCTAGAGAGGACACAGATAAAAAAAATAGAGGATCTGAGGAACATGATG